GCCCAGGCTGGCCTCGAACTCACAGAGATCCACCTGGCTCTGCCTCCCGAGTGCTGGGATTAAAGGCGTGCGCCACCACCGCCCGGCGGAATTATAATTTTTATAGTTGAAAAAAAAATGGAGGCTCAGAGAAATTAAACACTGACTTGTTCGAGGTTATACATTAAGTGGTGGAACTAGATCTGAAACCAGAATCTGGTTTAGAGCTTGTACCCATCTATGCCATTGTGTCCAGACACAGGAAAAGAACTACAGATCCATTCAGCAAAATGGGCACCCAAAAAAGAAAGAAGTGAAAAGAAAAGCTGCTTGCGTACTAAGATATTTAGTGCATGATGGGCATTGGTGCCAACTCAAATGCCTACCAAGGTAGAAAGCCCCTACATTATGGCTGTGACTGCTAATTATATGAGTAAATACGACTGACCAGCATTAATAATCATTTCTGGGGGCTGGAGAGATGGCTCAGAGGTTAAGAGCACTGGCTGCTCTTCCAGAGGTCCTGAGTTCAATTCCCAGCAACCACATGGTGGCTCACAACCATCTATAATGAGGTCTAGTTCCCTCTTCTAGCCTGCAAGTCTGCATGTAGACAGAACACTGTTACATAATAAATAAAACTCTAAAAAATATTTATAAAAAAATAATTTCTGGGTGTATGTGTGAGGGTATTTCCCGATAAGATCAGTATATGAATTATTGGAGTCAATAGACTGCCTTCCCCACTGTGGAGGGGCATCATCCATCCTCGGAAGGCTTGAAAAGAGAAGAGGCAAAGGATAAATTCCCTCCTTTTGCTTTTTGCTCACCTTATTTGAGCTGAGATACCTCATCTTCCCCTGCCTCCACCCCAGATTTCTACCATCAGTCCCCTTAGTTCTCAGGCTTTCAGGCTCAGACTGGATTGTGCCACTGACTTTCTCCTGGGTTTAAAGCCTCCACAGCTGTATGAGCCAATTCCTTACAAGAAACATCCTTTATATATATCCAGATTTGTCTGTCTGTCTTTCTCTATCCATCCACCTGCCCACCCACTCCCCACCCTACCCACTCATCCATCCATCCATCCATCCATCCATCCATCCATCCATCCATCCATCCATCCATCCATCCGTATCTTCTGATCTCCTTTCTACTGGTTCTGTTTCTCTGAGGAACCCTGACTTGCACGATGATGGCACATTCTTACAATAGCATTCACTGTAAACATTTTGGAATGAGGTAGAGTTGTATACAAAGATGCTCAGAAGAGAGGAAATAAGTAGGTAATAAAAACAGCATACCTAGAGTTCCATGTATGAAGGAATGTGTGTACACATGTGTGTGTAAAACTAATATTACCAGATAATTAGCTTGAATTGATAAAGTATCTAATTGCTGCTTTTCTAAGTCAAAGAGTTGAAAACTGGTAATTTAAAAATTACAATGCTCTCTTCCATGAGGTGAGAATTTTTGACAATTTTCACTTTCTACTTTCTGTAACCTTTAAATATTTTAACTTTACTTTTTTAGTATTTAAAAGTTTGCCTCTTATAATAAGAAAAAGAAAAGCATTTCATAAAAATGGGTAAAGGCCCAAAGTAAAGCTTTATAACCATGAGCTGGTTTTCTCTTCCAGCTACAGGGAAGCTGCCCAAGAAGAGACCAGGTATTCACTGACATAGTGATTTATTGTGATAGGTTGGTGGCATACAAGGATAACTTACTTCCAACATGCTTCCCACAGTGGCTCTTGGCTCCTCAGCCAGTATTAGCCCCCATGGTAGCCATTCTTAGAAATAACTGGGTTGACAAGGCTAAGTGCCCAATACCTGTTCAGCACAGTCACACTTACTGGTCTTGGATAAGGAATCTGGTAATGCAGTCCGATCTCGATCCTGGCTGTGCATTCATCTATACACTGTTTAATCAGGTCTGGGTCTGTGAGCTATATAAGGGGAAAATAAATGTGGCATTTAGTATCTTTATAATAGTATATAAAATATAGTACAGATTTTCTTAAACTTTTCAGTTCACTACCCAGAAAACTCAGTATTGGTAAAGAAAAGTCTCTCCTTCTCTTATCTTCCAGTTAACCTTCTTAAGTGTCCCTCCAAAGTTACTCTGTGAATACATAAACCCAAACACAGAGAATTAGCCTTTTGAAATTATTTCTCCTTTTACTTATTGTTTTGTGTGTATGGTGGGGGGTGTGCATGTGCCATGGAATACGTACATACCATGGTGCTTGTATGGAGGTCACATGGAGATGACAAGTTTGTGGAGCTGGTGTTCTCCTTTGGTCTTTCTGTGGGTTCTAGGGACTGAACTCAGTTGTCAGGTTTCAGTGCTAAACACCTTTACCCATGAGCCGTCTCACTGACCCTCGCTTTTTCTTATACAGATATCTTAATCTATAAGTTTTGCTTTTTAATTAACATTATTTGAAGCTCTTTTGGTATTCAGGCATCAAGAGCCAATCTTCCTGAGAACAATCAAAACCCCAGCATAAGGCTTTATTATAATTTAACCACTTTGCTACTGATGGGCATTCCAGGTATTTCCAGCCTGTTGTCATCTTAAACAATTCTGCTACAGATCTCTATGCAATTATTTGCTCACATGTCGATGTATCTAAGATGAATTCTCAGAGTGAGAATGCTAAGACAAACAGGCTACCTAGGTTAATGCATGTTTAATTCTCACAATATTCCCAGGTTACTTTCTATAGTTTACACTAATTTATATCCCCACCAACAATCTGCAAACTTACATCCCCACCCATACCAAACAAGAGATACTTCACACCCTCCCTACACTGACTCTAAAGCAGTGGTTCTCAACATGTAGGTTGCGACCCCCTTGGGGGTTGCATGTCATATTACGATTCATAACAGTAGCAAAATTACAGTTAAGAAGTGGCAACGAAATCATTTAATGAGATCACCACAGCAGGAGGAAGTGTGTTAAAGAACCACTGCTTTAAAGGAACCTGGCTTTTCAGTAAGAGTAAGACACTGGAGAAGGAGCTACCTAGTATTTTAAACTGTAAATTGTCTTCTCATTAGTAAAGGAGGAAAAAAGGAAGTTTTGAAATCCCAAATCAGGCCAATTGTGATCATGTACTTTCAAGTTAAAAAGTGAGATGTTTAACGCCAGGCGGTGGTGGCGCATGCCTTTAATTTCAGCACTTGGGAGGCAGAGGCAGGCAGATCTATGAGTTTGAGGCCAGCCTGGGCTACCAAGTGAGTTCCAGGAAAGGCGCAAAGCTACACAGAGAAACCCTGTCTCGAAAAACCAAAAAAAAAAAAAAAAAAAAAAAAAGTGAGATGTTTATTTGGAGGTGGGGGGAGGACACAGACAGACGGACACAAAAACAAAACCCAGAAAGCCAAATCAGAGAAGGGAAAAAACTTTCATTTAGAGGGTGTAAAAAAAATCAGCACCTGGATCTTCTAAGTTTGTGAGAGTGCTTCAAGGTAGCGCCAGAATTGCATCAGCCTCAGATGATACCCAGGGTGAAGTCTGGGCCCAGATGGCTTGGAAATTCCAAGAGAGTTCTTGTCCCCTGGTGCTTCTTGGAGTTCCAGGAACAGCAGCACAGAGAACTCGGCTGGGTCCCTTAGGGCAGAGGCTCAGCTCCCTGACCTGTGGCCTCAGAAGCTATTGCGCTACTGTCCACACTGGGACCACATAGTCATGTTGCCATTGGCCTGCTGGGATTCAGAGCAATTACCAAGATAGCTTTGGATTATTAAATTTTTAGTGCAGCTAGGGTTAGAACAAAATGTTTATGCCTACATGAGGAACTAGGGGAAAAGAAAAGCCCCCCGACAAAGATGTGGCTAAAGGAGTTGGGCTTCTAGAACTCCAGCCATCATATAAACGAGCTTGGGCTAGAGTTCTCCAAATTCAGCCATTCACAGCTACTGCATGATGGTGTGACATGCACACACCACCCTCTGTCTCATCCTTGGCCAATCCAGGTCGAAGCTCAAGAATGACTTTGAAATAAACAAAGACCTAGTCTTGAGTAGTTACCAGACAAGTGTGCCTTCACAGGTGTACTGGGTACATGCCACAATATCCCCAGCACCAGGCCAGACCCATTGGGTTATGATCTCTGCCTTCAGCTATCAAAGACATTTTCTGAGCAGATACGTGATACGTGAAGACACAAAAAAGGCATAATGGGAAGCTCAATGGGTGGCACATGCCTATAATTTCAGCACTCAGAAGTAGAGGCAAGAGGATTTTGAGTTCAAATACAGTGTCTTCTGGATATGACAGGCCTGCTGCATTCATGAGCTCACTGCGGCTGTCCTTGCCTGTATAAGACCTACACCAGATCAAGCCAGTCAACATTCCAGCATAGATGGGAGAGGCGTTCACAAGGCTCCGCCCCAGCTGAGGAGCTATTGGCAGCTGAGGGCGACTAGGAGACTGTGAGTCACTTCTCTTTAAGGGTGTGGTCCTGTAGGTCAGACATGCTCAGGTGGACAGCCCCACACCCACGAGTCCATGGGCAGCACAAACTGGGCTCAAGTTTATTGAAAAAAAAAAAAAAGACATGAGGTTGGGGTGGGTACGGTAAATCTGGGAAAAGTTTAGGGGTGAATATTGTCAAAATATATTGTGTACATGTATGGGAGTTTTAAAAGTACACACACCTTTAACCCTATCACTGGGAGAAGAGGCTGGCTGGTGGTTGGATGTCTGTGAGTCATAGGACAGCCATATATATGTATTAAATATAAAATTACATAAAAATATATTTAAAAACTAAATACAAAACAATAAAGCATGGAGCCTTCAGGCATTCCTAGAAGAGAAGTTACTTTAGAATATGAGGGTTTCTTTGGTGGCTTTTGTCTTTATTTTAATTCTATTTCTTTCCATCTAACTGAAATCTATCCGACGGACCTTATTTTGATATATATATATATATATATATATATATATATATATATATATATATATATATATACCAAATGTCTAGTCTAGTATTAGGACGTATTGAACGAGGACTAAGAACAAAGAATTTCCGAGTGACAGCAGATGACAGGAACTACAAGAAAAGAAAAAAGGTGGGGGGAGGGAGATAGGGGACAGGGTTTGTAAATGGATGACTAGACCCAGGTGAGGTCCTTCAGGTGGGTGGTCAGAAACAGAGGCTGGGCCAGGCCTGGCGGAGCACGCCTTTAATCCCAGCATGAAGAAGGCAGAGACAGGGGAATCTCTGAGTTCGAGGCCAGCCTGGTCTACATAATGACTTCCAGGACATCCGACACTATTTCCAAAAAAAAAAAGAAAATAAAAAAAAAAAGAAAAGAAAAACAAAACCAAAAGAAAATAACCAAGTCTGGGCATTCAAAAGTGGCTTCAGCACAGAGGCTACCCTTTAGTCGGCATGCAGGTAGTAGAAGGTGGTGTAGAAAAAACACAACCAGAAAGACATAGGACACTAAATTGTTTGAAAGACACCAAGCAGAAGTGGGCAAAGAGGAGCTGAGTGCTGACAGTCACCTTCCGTCCTTGGTCAGGCAGTTCTCCCAAGGGGATGGCAGCCAGTGCTGGATGATTTGTCAGGGTGACTCGAAACTGGATGGCTGGTGTCTGGGTGATTGGTTCTCTTAACTAGGTAGTAGAAGCCCTGTTTTCAGTGCTACCACGCTGTTGGCCAAAGAGTATGTAGCTAAGTTATGGAAGGAGCCCTGTGTCTTTTTCCACATTATAAATGGGTTTATAGTCAGAAGGCTTTGATTGGTTTTTGGATTGAGAAAAAACATTTTACTGCATACCACCTCTGGGAGTGGCTGGCCATCTGTATGTGAGGACCAGCTCTCACTGGCATGACTTCTGTCACCTGGCTCACAGCGTCTTCTGAGGATGCTTAAGCTATTTACTGGCTGGACTGAGACCTGGTTCATCCAAAAGAGAGAAACGCTGGCTGGGCTTGACTTTCTAGGAGTCGGCTGAACTGGCAAGCCTACCCAAGCTGCATGATGGACCCTTCCCAGCTCTGGGAGTTGGATGAGTCTTCTTCAGTTAAGGTAGGAAAGAAATGAACAAATACCACAAGAAGATTCTCTGCTCCTTGCCACCTCCAGATGGGCCCTACTTACATTTTTGTTTTTCTGGAACAGGGTTCTGGCTTCACTTAGTATGTACTGTTTTTCTTTGACGGTGTCCTCCATCTGCCCTGATGCTGCCCGCCACTTCCGTGCAAGCCTGAAAATGCTCCGGTAGAGGCCAAGGACTTCTTGTCGTGTTGCTGTTGTCATCTTCAGACCTTCCCGAAGAGGAGGAGGAAAAGCTGCATACAAACGCAGTTTGAAGGAGTAGGCAATGAGATGTACAGTTCTGGAATCAAGATTTTAGAAGAGTCTAGACATAGCTGCTCCTTCTCAACAGGTCTGTGGGTAGCATTACCAGAATGACATAGTAGAAACATCAATGAGACATCTCCTTTGCTCTCTCCTCCCGGCTTTATGACTTTGAGACAGTCTCACAAGCTAGTCCTGTTTGGCCTGGAATGCCATATGTAAGCCAGATTGGCTTCAAACCATCCGTCTCAACCCCCTGAGTCCTAGGATTGCAGACCTGTACCTGAAGTTGAGGGCTGCCTAGTTTGCTGTCTGCTATGAACCCATTTTTACAATCATGGCAAGACCAAATTCACATTTATTATTTTTTAAAAACCAGGCTGACCAGAATACCTCGGAAATGATTTTAGTTTCTGTTCTGGGAAATTTACATCACTAACCTGAATGCCTGGAAGGCATATTTTAGTTTGTTTTGTTGAGACAGGGTCTCACTGTGTGGCCCTGGCTGGCCCAGAACTTGTTCTGTTTGGTTGTAGAGATGGAGGCTCGTGACTTCTAACTCCAGATCCTCCTCTCTCCACCAAGCAAGTAAAGGTAGTATTTGGTAGTCAGCGCTGAGCAGCAGCAGCCACCAGGAAAGGAGGGCCTGGAGATGGCAGCCCTTCTGTCGTGTAGGCAGCAGGACCAGGCAGGGGAGCACAGGCCTGTAGTGTAATCTCAGCACTTAGAAGGCCGAGGAAGATCGTGAGTTCCAGCTAGCTCGGGATACATCTTTAAAAACAGTGGCATTTCATGCTTCTATAACATGAAATCCTAAAATGACAGTTATCATTTTTAAAATTGTGGTTACCAAATAAGTCAAATAGGGTCAGTCTCAAGTCTCAGCTTTACCCAGACATTGCAATTTCTCTTAGTTTAGAAAACATTTCTCAAAACTACCTTCTTGACCAATAAGAACTGTACAACTAAAGATCTTTCTCATGGCTGAAGATCTTCTGACCCCTCTGGCTTTTTCTACGAACACCAATTTTAGTTCCAGTGGGTGTTGCCAAATGAGAACTGAGTAACTGAGTACTTTTATTTTTATGAAATATTTCATAGAATATGAATGGACACAAAAATACAAGAGAATAACATGATAGCTACATACAATAAGCCTTGAAAAACAAATTATGGAAACCCATATCATCATGTGTCATGTCCTGTCCCGTGCCCCACCCCCACCCCCCACCTCCAGACTCTTTCTAAATCAATTCTCTCTCTCTCTCTCTCTCTCTCTCTCTCTCTCTCTTTCTCTCTCTCTCAATCTCTCTGTCTCTCTTGAGACAGTATCTCATTATTTAGCCTTGGCTGGCCTGGGAGACTCTATATGGATCAGGCTGGCCTTGAACTCACAAAGAACTGCCCCTCTCTGCTTCCAGGGTGCTAAGATTAAAGGCATGTATTATCATGTGCAGCCCTCTCTTTTTCTTTTGTTCAAAGTACTATTCTCTTGTTTACCATTGTCATGAATCCTTTACATTTATTATACAAGACAGTTTTACAAGTTTAGAACTTCATATAGGTTCTTCAAGTTTGGGTGTCCATTGTCGTCCCCCCCCACCATCCCCGCACCCCCCATCCTTCAGTTGAATTTGCAGGACTCATCCACACTGAACTCTAGTTCTGACATCACTGCTGCAGGTCACTTGACTCTACCAAGAAATCCCAAATGCACTTGTCTATTCTGTTGATGGACATTTTGTTTGTTTGTTTGTTTGTTTTATTGAGACAGGGTTTCTGTTTACCTTTGGCTGTGCCAGACCCCTCTCTGTAGACTAGGTTGGCCCTGAACTCAGAAATTTGCCTGCCTCTGCCTCCCGAGTGCCGAGATTAAAGGCATGCGCCACCACCGCCCGGCTTTTGATGGGCATTTTTATAGCTTATGCAAAACTTAAGCCTATTTCTTCATATTTCTGTTTGTAAAAATTGAGAGAAAATACCAAGAAAAAAAAAAAAAGACAAGTCCTTGGAGTTCTCAGTCTGATTTAGAATGATGACTATTATGCTGTCTTAGACAGGAGGACAGGCTGCGAAGACAGATCTGGAGAGTAAGCAGCAGAGCCAGGTACTCCGACACATCTGTAAGTCCAGAGATTTTTTTTTTTTTTTCAAACAAGCTTATCAGGATCAGGGAGGAGGCTGAAGGCTGCCATTTAGGAACATAATCCATTTCCAACTCCCTACCTGGGGCTGAAATGCTAGAGGGATGGTCCTTAGCTTATGAGAATCCCAGCTATACAATGATGGGAACAGGATTGGGTATGTACATCTAGAAATCCCAAGTGCCTTCAAGGAATCCACCTTATAGAGAATTTCTTCTTTGAAGATGACTGCCCCTCCTATTTACTGGACCCTGGTGACTTTTCTTGAGCAACAAGGAGTGAACCAATGCTTACCCATTTGATGGAAAGCTTGAAAGCACCACTTCCCCCACCCAAGTGTTTAAAGAATCAAAGTTATACTAACACCATCAATGATGCTTCACAGAAAAAATGCTTAAAAGGAATTCATAAAAACCAAGTGAGAACATCGTGGGTAATAAAAAGCCAGATGAGATGATGACATTTTTCCTGGTAAGGAAACAGGTTTCTGAGTTTCTGGCTCTCCCTAAAACTCCACAGTTTCATCTGAAAATATGTGAGTCAGTTCCTGTGAGGGGCAGTCGCATCAGTTAGTGATTGCTTCACTTCCCTGTCATTAACAGATGAAACTTCCTTGGCTTTCAGGTACTGGCAGAGGAAATCGAAGGTCAAACGTATTAAAACCCTAGCAAATTTCTCAAAGCCTGACTTTAATTGGTTTTCTTATACTACTTTAAGAACTCTGATCATAGGCCTTAACATGACACACAAGACCTACAATTAGGTTACCCAATGAGTGCTAACAATTGACACTTAATAAGACTATTTTGAAAAGACTTTAATTAGTGTGTGTTTTGAAAACTAATCCAAAGAGGAAGATAGGTGATGATTCTCCAACATCAGGTGACCCAGAAAACTCAAGTAACAAAGACTGCCAGAGAGAAAAGTCAAAAGCTATCTTTACTACCAAGCACATGAGCAGGTCTAGCCTATCACTTCTATGTCTTGAAAGAAAAGTCAAGAAAAGAGAAAAACATCTTTCATCATTTTCTGTTTTCTTACTGGGTTTCTTTTTTTTTTGGTTTTCGAGACAGGGTTTCTCTGTGTAGCTTTGCGCCTTTCCTGGAACTCACTTGGTAGCCCAGGCTGGCCTCGAACTCACAGAGATCCGCCTGGCTCTACCTCCCGAGTGCTGGGACTAAAGGCGTGCGCCACCACCGCCCGGCTTCTTATTGGGTTTCTATCAGTTCTTGGGGTGGAGGTGGGACTATGATCTTCTTGACTTGGGGTGCACACCCATATTGTTCCCTCTTTACTACCCCCCCCCTCTCTTTTTTAAAAATTAAAGACAAGGTTTCAGTATACAGCTTTTGAGAGAAAATACCAAGAAAAAAATGCCCTAGGTAGACCTGGCTGGCATGAGATTCACAGAGCTCTACCTACCTCTGCTTCCTAAGTGCTGAGATTAAAGGTGTGAGCTACAACACCTGACCTGATCTTTTTTTTTTTTTTTTAAACTTGACCAATTTCTATTCATCCTTTAGCTCCTCATGAAAACATAGATGTCTCAGAAAATTCTTCACACTCCGTAGTCTCTCCTTAACCACACACTCTGGGTTAGGAATCAAATGAATCTTGATAGTTGTTCTTTATAGGGCCCATCACTCAAGTTCTAGTTTGTTAGTGTCTATAGTCCTCCAATAGACTCTCATTTTTATGGGGACAGTTATTACATCTATCTTATTTACTGCTGGATTCTCTGCACCTAGAAAGGTTACATACTAGGAATTCAACAAATGTTTCCTGAAAACATGAAATATCTCTCATGCTACAGAAAGCTTCAGATTCTCAAACTGAACCAGTCATGCATAAAAATTTTATTAAAGTGCTTTTCTTTTTGGGTTTTTCTTGTTGGTCTTAGAAAGCAACTTATTTACAAAAGTTGCCATTTCCTGAAGGTTTCCTTACCCAAGGATTTGATGGCTTGGGACCAACATTCTTCTCATGATTAATGCAATACAGCTTTTATCCTTATTTATGGTTGGTCAAGGGCTGATCTGATACAGTAGTGAGGTCTGCTGGGAGTTCCCCTTTGGCAAAATAAGGGATATTCAGCTTAGAAGTCAGAATTTGAATCTAAAATGGTCATGAAGTCTATTCTTAAGGAATTTCTTCAAAGTTCTATGATATTTATTCTTGATACTACTTGAAATATTTGTTCCTTTTCATCTCTTTAACTTCCAAATCCAAGGATGAAAGAAGAAAATGTAGGTGTGACAGAAATAATTGTGACTGGAAGGTGACTCCTTTTTCAAAAGTTCCACTGCTTGTATAAGCAGAGTACTAAGATGAAATTTATCATTGAGTACATATTTTATATAAGTCTGGCACATTTTGCTGCTAGTGTCTTGGCCTCTAGTGCTCAGTTGAGAGAGGTCCCTAATGCACATATCTCAAAATTTGATTGTAGAGGTGATTTTAGATACATAACACTCATATTCATTAGTTGACTTACTTTAATATATACTGGAATGACCCATTACACCCATGATATAGATTTTTGTGTGATGTAGGTGTAATGATACAGCGTGCAAGCCTTGGCACTTAGAGCCAAGGTGCCCTGAAGTGGGTGAAACATGCCATGCAGACACAGTGGCTGGTGGCGGGCATGATGAAAGTTACTCACACCCAGGCACATGTCCACGTGGAGAAGAATTTATTACAATAGAAAGAGAGAGAGAGAGAGAAAGGAAAGGAGAGAGAGAGGAAGAGAAAGGGAGGGAAAGCGGAGGTGTGTAAACCTAATGGCAGGGAAGGAAGGAAGCGGGGAAGAGGAAGGAGGGAGGGGCTTTTCCTTAAAAGAGGCT